CTACCATGCCTCACTGCAGCTTCGAACTCACTGGCTCAAAATTCTCCTACCTCAGCTTCCTGAGTAGCTGGGATCACAGGTATGCACCACCACACCCCGTTAATTTTTTTTTTTTTTTTTGAGATGGAGTCTTGCTCTGTCACCCAGACTGGAGTGCAGTGGCATGATCTCAGCTCACTGCAACCTCCACCTCCCGGGTTTAAGCGATTCTCCTGCCTCAGCCTCCCAAGTAGCTAGGATACTACAGGTGAGTGCCACCATGCCTGGCTAATTTTTTGAATTTTTTTTAGTAGAGACAGGGTTTCACCATGTTCACCAGGCTGGTCTCAATCTCCTGACCTCGTGATATGCCCACCTTGGCCTCCCTAAATGCTGGGATTACAGGTGTGAGCCACCACGCCCGGCCCTAATATTTTATTTTTTTGTAGAGATGAGGTCTTACTATGTGGCCTAGGCTGGTCTTGAATTCCTGGACCCAAGTGATCCTCCCACCTTGACCTCCCAAAGTGTTGGGATTACAGGCTTGAGCCACCGTGCCCAGTTCCCTACTTAACTAGTTTTAAGGGGGAGAAGAAAAAGACTGATTTTCTTCCCTTCCACTACCAAGACAGGCAGAACACACCAGAACACTTTGCTTAGCATTTCTTTTCGTTTTTTTTTTTTTTTTTTTTTTTGAGATGGAGTCTCGCTCTGTAACCAAGGGTGGAGTGTAGTGACACGATCTTGGTTCAATGCAACCTTCACCTCTTGGGTTTATGCTATTCTCCTGCCTCAGCCTCCCGAGTACCTGGGACTACAGGCGCCTGCCACCACTTTCGGCTATTTTTTTGTATTTTTAGTAGAGACGGGGTTTTACTGCGTTAGCCAGGATGGTCTCAATCTCCTGACCTCATGATCTGCCCGCCTCGGCCTCCCAAAGTGCTGGGATTACAGGCGTGAGCGACCGTGCCCGGCCGTCCCTTCATTGTTTAAGATAAATTCACATACCATAAAATTCACCATTTTATTTATTCTCTCTCTGTCCCTCTCTCTCTTTCTTTTTTTTTCCAGGCTGGAGTGCAGTGGCCCTATCGTGGCTCACTGCAACCTTGAATTCCTGGGCTCAAGTGATCCTCCCACCTCAGCCTCCGGAGTAGCAGTAGCTGAGACTATTGTCTCATGTGTCCATGTGAAGAGACCACCAAACAGGCTTTGTGTGAACCACATGGCTGTTTATTTCACCTGGATGCAGGTGGGCTGAGTCCGAAAAGAGAGTCAGCAAAGGGCGGTGGGATTATCATTAGTTCTTATAGGTTTTGGGATAGGCGGTGGAGTTAAGAGCAATGTTTCGGGGGCAGGGGGTGAATCTCACAAAGTACATTCTCAAGGGTGGGGGAGATTATAAAGAACCTTCTTAAGGGTGGGGGAGATTACAAAGTACATTGATCAGTTAGGGTGGGACAGAAACGAATCACAATGGTGGAATGTCATCAGTTAAGGCTATTTTCACTTTTGTGGATCTTCAGTTGCTTCAGGCCATCTGGATGTATACATGCAGGTCACTGGGGATATGATGGCTTAGCTTGGGCTCAGAGGCCTGACAACTATCAGTGCACACCACCAAGCTTGAGTAATTACAATACTTTTTTCTTTTCTTTCTTTCTTTTTTTTCTTTTTTTTCTTTTTCGTAGAGATGGAGTCTTCCTATGTTGTCCAGGCTGGTCTGGAACTCTTGCCCTCAAAGGATCCTCCTGTCTAATTCTCCCAAAGTGCTGGGATTACAAGCATGTGCCACCGCGCCCGGCCAAATGCACCCCCCCCTTTTTTTTAAAGTGTGCAATTCAATGGTTTTTAATATATTCACAAAGTCATGGAACCATCACATCTATCTAATTTCAAAATGTTTTCATCGCTCCAAAAAAATAACTCCATATGGGAGACCAAGGCGGGCAGTTCACTCGAGACCAGCCTGGCCAACATGTTGAAACTCCGTCTCCACTAAAAATACAAAAATTAGTCGGGCGTGATGGCGCACGCGTGTAGTCCCAGCTACTCCGGAGGCTGAGGCAGAAGAATCGCTTGAACCCGGGAGGCGGAGGTTGCAGTGAGCCCAGATCGCGCCATTGCACTCCAGCCTGGGCGACAGAGCGAGACTCCTTCTCAAAAATATCTAATTAATTAATAAAAATAAAAATAAACAAGTAAATAAATAACCCCATGCCTTCTGCCTCTGTGGCTTTGCCTGTTCTGGGTATTTTGTGTGAATGGACCCATGCATGGAGGTGGGCCGGGCACCTTTCAAACGTTCACCCCCACAACGGCCCGTGGCCTCTGGATTGGACAGCGCGAGCTGAATGTGCGGGTCGGGCGCCCAATCGCTCCGGAGCGTCTGGAGGGGGCAGGTGCAGGTGCGGGCGGCGCCAGCTCAGGGGCTGCTGGAGACCCAGGAGGCTCCGACGCGGTGCAGGAAGCTGCCTATCACGCCGACTCCTGATCGCTGGCGCCCATAGCGCCGACATGGCGGGCTGGTGGCCGGCACTGTCGCGCGCGGCCCGGCGCCACCCATGGCCCACCAACGTGCTGCTCTACGGCTCGCTCTACTCGGCAGGGGACGCGCTGCAGCAGAGACTGCAGGGCGGCGAGGCCGACTGGCGCCAGACGCGGCGCGTGGCCACGTTGGTGGTGACCTTCCACGCAAACTTCAACTACGTGTGGCTGGGCCTGCTGGAGCGTGCGCTCCCGGGTCGCGCGCCGCGCGCGGTGCTGGCCAAATTGCTCTGGGACCAGGTGGTCGGTGCACCCATCGCGGTCTCGGCCTTCTACACCGGTGAGGGGCCGGGTACTGGGGGACTGGAGCCAGGGATTCGGGATCAAGCGGCTGGAGGGAGGGCGCTGCAGGAGCCTGGGGACCCGGGTAGGAGCTGAGGCTCTGAGACCGGGGCTGCTTCAGGGGCCTGGAGGGCCGGGGCAAAGGCTAGAGGCTGGGGTGTTTGATTGCGAGAAGTTGCGGGGGGCACTGGCTGGGGAGCCGGGAAATTGGGAAGCCAGAGGTCCAGCGGGGTCAGGGGCTAGGGTCGGGGGTTGGATGTAGGTCAAGGCTGGAGCTGGCAGGGCTGGGGAGGTCTTTTCCCCCTGGAAAAGGGTCCACGGGAAAATAAAGGAGATCCCAGTTCAAGGCCATAGCAGCTGCATGACCATGAACCAGTCGTGGGCAGGGAAGGGACCGACCTGCTGTTCAGAAAATCCATGCCTGGGGCTCCGGGGCCAACACAGGAACAAAACGCAAGGGGACCCATGACCCTGGGGGGCAGAGCAGGTGGAATCTGAGGTTGGGCCTGGATCTTCAGAAAACTTATGCCCAGGGGCCTAGTCCTGCTTTGGTGACAAGATTTTCCCCTGGGGGTCCCACGGAAGACATCAAGGGACCTTGGATCCTTGCCATTGGAGGACTATATACCTGTGAGGGTTCAGGGAACCCTCTCCTTAGAAAATGCGACCCGGGCCTGGGGTGTGGGGGACGGGGGCTTGACTGTGGAAACCTTCTCTACTGCCTACAATAAGAACAATGGAAATGTTACCTGAAATATACCGGGGTTCATTCCCCTAACGAGTCCCAGATGACTCCATCAAGAGGCAGGTTTTGATCAATGGGAGTTTTACTTGGCACAAGTAAGGAAGACACTGGGCGTGTTCTCCAAAGTAGTATGTCCCCCCGAGAAGGAGACAGGAGGGTTTTATGGGGTGATGGAGAAAGGAGAGGGCGCGTGATTGCATGCAGAATAGGAGTCCCAGTGAGTCATGATGCTAGCACATAGATTGCATAGGTTACATAGGTTATAGTCATGAAGCTATAGCTTCTCCC